TAATCAGTGACTTTTACAGAGATAAAATTACCTGCCTGCTCCTATGTATGACTGCCCTGGTTATACCACCAGCTGCTTTTGCTGCAGTATCTCTCTGGAAGATCAGACTGAATTGCTTGTCTACTGTGATCTCCAAGGCCTTTACAGAGCTACTGCTTTCTAAGATATTCTCTCCAAACTGTACATATGGCATACAGACCTTGATCCTGAATTCCTAACTTTGCATTTGGCTGCATCAGATTTTGTTTGAATGGGCCCAGTTTACCAAACCATCCAGATAAAACACTGTGACTGCTTTGCCTTTGTCATTTACTGTAATGCCAAACAGTGTCATACACATACTCTGCCAGCAATTATTTTATATTTCCTTCCTAGATCATCGGTGAAAAAATTGAGTAGCACTGGGTATGCAACTGGCCCCTATTGAAACAGCACTATTTGATGACTGTTGGCTATCTGTTTGGTGGTCAGTTCTTAATCTGCTTATCAAGTGCTTTATTAATGTTGCACAGTACTAACTTTTTTAAAACCACGAAGTCATCAGAAATGGACTCAAAAACTTCATAAAATTATAACATGTATCACATCTGTTCAGCTACCTTTATCAACCACATTGGTAATTTTCAAAGAACGAAATTAGGTTTGTTTGACAGAACAGATCTTGTGATACTAATAACCCCTTGCATTTTGATAATTAAATCCTATATTAATTTATTTTCCATTATCTTGCCTAGGCTTCATGTCAGGCTAATCAGATCATCCTGCCTGTCACCTTTGCATATTGATACAATATTGGTAGAAATTCTGGAATCTTGCCCCAAGCACAGAGGTCACTCACACTGTAGAGATGTCAGCCCAGCCTGGCCACCACCACCGCTCTGTGCCCTGGGCCAGCAGCGGCCAGGGTGGGCAGAAAGCACAAAGCAGCGTCCGGGCTGGGCTGGGCTGGGCTGGGCTGGGCTGACCCCGCTACAGTGCAAGTGACCTCTGTGTTTGGGGCAAGCCCCCTCCCATCAGGAAGGGGCTTATTCAGCCACTTGTACCACAGCAGGATCTGCCCAGTCCAGCAGCTGCTGCTCTGTGCTGGGAGCCAGCTCCCTCCTGGCTGGCCACTGGCATTGCAGTGGAGATCTGCCCAGCCCGGCCGCAGCTGAAGCTTGGGAGGAAATAATGGAGGCGGGGCATCCACTAGCTCCTCCAGGAGTGCAAGTCTCGGGGCCAATGGCTGCATAAGTCGCTCAGGAGCTTGCCCAAGCACAGAATGTGCGACGGGGGCTGGGCCCTGCCCCCACATGACAGATGGAGCAGCAAGCGGTGAGTGCCCAACGGGCAGGAGCCCAACACAGCTTCCCAGCGGGGCTGCATTGTGGGGCCGGCAGAGCTGTCATGGAGTGCACTGGTGCTGCAGGGGCTTACAGGGCTCTGGCCTGCTCCACACCCTGGCACTGCTGTGCACAGCCCAAGCCCACAGCTCAGCCCCTTGCCAGGAAGATACTCGCTCTCCCCCACAGTGTGATTTAACTCGAACTGGCAAAGGTTCTGGGACAGACATTGCATAAACCAGTTTGAGCCAAATAAGTTAAGTCTGATAACTACATACAACCAGGTTTATCTCAAACTGGTTTCAGCCATTTTCAGATTCGTTTATGTGCACTGAATGTCTGTTCTGTTACAGGTTTAAACCAGTTTCTGATCACTTAAACCAGTTTATTTGTAATGTCTGTCCCTGGCCCTAAGTTGCGGCATGTGTGGTTTGCAGTGCTACTGATGGGTCTGCAGCACTGCATACTGCACATGCGTGCTTGTTTGGATACACCCCAGGAAGCCAAATGCAGAGACAGCCCTGGCTTACTTTCCTTCCCAGATCAGGATCTGGTGCCTGGCTCCTCTTCCTCTTCCCCTTGCTCCCAGCAAACTGCTTCCAAACTTCCTTGTTTGCTGCCATTTCACTTGCTATTGACACCTTCCTGTCAAACGATTCATTCATCTACATTTGTCACACTGAGGACTGAGACAGTTACCTAGTAGTGGGTACCATACCTTTCTGTTAAAGAATGGTTTTTCATTGGGTACATGAGTTCTTTGGTAAGTCTCCTAAATTGAAGTCCACCATAATCATGCATAATAGACTGGTGTTTAAGGACTCAGGCTACTCTCCGGTATCATTCCATGATCTGTAATAAATCTTTTCCCGTATCTACTCCAGGCTTGCTTTGTGAGTACATGGATCCATTTGCATGAGGTCCTATAATTCTGAGTAACTAAAACAAGAAATGGTGCCTTTAATAGCATATATACCGTTTGCCTCTGCAACTAACTCTGTCTTTCCTGAATGGGTACCTGGAAATTTTAATGCTCAAAACATTCTGTAAATTATCATATTTAGGTTTTTGGTCAGTATCCATTATAATGAATACAATTTACATATCTCAGAGCTATTGCAGCAAATGAACTCTTGGTTCATGTTTTTTAAGTGTGTTTTCTTAGTCAAATTTGGTAGAAACATAGACCTACATTTTCTAATGCAGTCCTAAAACTGAGTAGCAATCAGTATTTATGAGTTGTAGCCTGACCTTCAGATGTGTTAACAACTTCCATTCAATTCAGTTCATTCCCTTCTCCCTCAGCTTTTTCCATATGAATTCTGTTTACTGTAGATTGTAAACTCATCAAGGAGGAAGTTGTGTTTGGCTGTGTATATTACTTTTACATGCTTTTGGGTTTTCACATGTTATAGATCATGTATAGATAGTAATAACTATGATTAACTGTAATGAAGCTAAAACATTAAAAATAATCAGAGTTTTAGCAAATATTCACATAGCATGAAAGCTTTAGGGGATGGAATATTTTTTGGAAATGGTGAAAGCCAGTTTCCTTAAAATGAAAGATATCAGGTCTATTACTTTTCATGAAATATAAATATGAACTACGAATGGTACCATTTTAAACCCACATTAAGTATACATGGACAAATGCTAACCAGAAATAACTAACATAACATGAACCATGTCATGGTTACTGGGCATTTAAATTTATACAGCTATTAGGATCCAAAATGGAGAACAATCAGTAAATGTTCTAGTAATTATTGTGTGACTGGATTACAAAAATTGTCCTAAATGTGTTTATGTCTGTGAATACAAACTGCTCTAAGACCTCAGACTGATATGTTTAAACTAGTGAATAATTTGATTATCAATAAAGTGTTGAAGAATTCCATTTTCAACCAGTACAAGGTGTGTGCCTCCTTTGGGCTTCTTTCTATTTTGCTTAATGTTAAGTTGAAGGAGAGTAATTACACAGTTTAGTAGAAGTAAAGTGTTGGTATGCTCTTCTGCTTTCACCTGACATACATTCCACCAGCATATTCCTCCAGCTAGTGCCTCTGTTCTCACAACCAGCAATCCTGCCCTAATTAATCATTATTAGGTGGCTCACAGATGTGAAAAAAAAAAGCTTTGCTAGAAGAATCAGAGCATTAGTTTGCTCCAGCTCTGCAGCATTTGTATAGATTGTGTGCTTCAGTGTGGCTTCTTGGTGCTTTTATCTAATAGCTGATTCAATCAGCTATTAGATAAAAGCACCAAAAAACCCAGTAAGGTGCCTGATCTATACAGATGTTGGTTGAGCCAGGTCCAACTAATGCGATGCCTCTTCTGGGCATGCACTAGGCTTGGTGTGAGCTGCATGGAGTTTAAAGCAAAGCGCCATTTTTGCTGGGATTTTTTTACATCTGTAAACACCCTATGTTGTTATAATCAATTCTGTGTACTTGTTCAAAGCATTCCAAATATATTAGATAAAGGGAATTCCCCTTTGCTACTTCAGAAATGCTATACAGTATAGAGCTCACTCTCTTTTTTCTATACTGCTTACTTTCTTTGGACTAAAAACCCCTCTCCTATCTTTGATGCCTCTATTATTTCAGTTTTTAGGCCTTTGACTCATGTTCTGTTGTCCTTTTCTCCCTTGCTTATTCTGTTAACTATATTAGCTAATCTGCTTTTCCCTTCATTGCATTGCCCACATCCTCCAACCTCTGTTGTATGTTTTGTTCCCTTTCTTCCTGTGTTTTATCCTTTCTTCAGGGAATTCCTGTGGGTTTGCTGTCCTCCTGCTCATCTTTCCTCCTACACTCTCTGCTTAGGACTTCATGCCTTACCTCCAAAATGTAGGTCCATCTATGCCTGTGAAAGGAGCTCATTGTGATACTTTTCACTGAAGTCACCTTTGCTGCATGATGTGATCTGTGGACTGCCTCCTTTCCCTCCATTCAGCAGTGCAGGAAGTAGCAGTCACATTTTTCAGCTGCTGAACCGGAGTGTGTGACTGTCATTGTTGGTGATGGTGTGAGGGCCAGTGTGAATTACGCAGTGTGGTTGGACTGAAGAAAAGACTGTTCCTTTTCTAGCACTTTTTGCCTGCAAGAGGAAAAATGTTCCCTATTTCTTTCCCTATCTCTAGCTTTGTCTCTACTCACCTACCACCCTTGCAAGCCCCTTTCTTACTTGTCGTCTAAGAAGTCAGCCAAACATCTATCTACCTCACCAGCCTTTCCCAAATATAACTCTGTAGTGTAGACGTAGCTAACATTGCTAGGCCCTAAGCTGATATGATCTCTCTACCCTCTCTATTAGCTTTACTTCTCGTAAGGGCCAGAGTATTTTGGTGAATTGCTACTCCTTTCTGCCAGAACTAGCTCATAGGAGGACTGAAGGGTGTCATAGCTGGACAGAAGCAGCAGCAATGGGGAATTGAGAGGCCACATCCCAGTCTTTCAGCATATTATTGTCTCATTTTGCTTAGCACAAGAAGAAGGTAAATGAAGAAGCTAATGTGGCCTTGATTATAGGTATGCTATACCAACATGTGATTCAGATCAAGCCTTGCCTGGCAGTTCAGTCAGGCAATTACATGCTGAGGCACCTGGAAGGATTAATATTCTTTTCAGGTAAAAATTTCTTTTGTTTCCATCATTTCTTTCCTTCTTATTACAGGCCATGGCACCTGCTCTTGTGGTCAATGTATTTGTGGAACTGGATGGTTTGGAAACTTGTGTCAGCATCCAAGGAAGTGTAACATGACAGAGGAAGAGAGCAGAAGTTTGTGTGAATCAGCAGATGGCATATTGTGCTCAGGAAAGGGTAAGCATTGGTAGTTGAGCTACCCTATGTCAGTGTTCTGGGAGATAAAAATGATCACGTTGTGGAAGACTGCAGTGGGTTTTTGTTTAATAACAGTTTCTTCTCAAGTCATCCATTGTTACAAGGCTGTTATTATTGGCTTCATAATGCTCATAACCTTGACAAAACACTCACTTCGTTGCATATGTGCCACAGTCACAAGCACTTATCAGCTTTGCTCTCCAGTGCAATTTAGTAACATCATGGGATTTCATGTACCTATTTTGGGCTTGTGTTGAGAGGTGACTATTATGAACTGGTTTATGGCACTAGAGGGGACTATGTTCAACAACAGCAGCATTGGCTGTGCCAGTCTTCCTCTGCCCAGTTAGTGCAAGTGGAAAGCTAGCCCCTGGCAGCACCCATAGCTTCCTTGTATTCCCCCATTAGATATTTTCAGCACTTTATTAATACTATTTTTAATATAGATCTTCAGCTGGCTGGCAGTCCAGTCTGCCTTAGTATGAGGCCAGGCTTGGCATACAGAGAGAATACATTTTAGAAGCTTCTAAAATTCCTATCTTAGAGTCTGCAAGAGGCAAGGATTTCCTAAGGTGACAGCTTTTATTGGACCAACTGTGTAGCTGGGATAAAATTGAACCTAAGGAAGAATGTCTTGCATTCAAAAGCTGGTCTAACTTTATCCCAACTACATAGTTCTTTCAATAAAAGCGATCATCCTGAGAAATCCTCTTGCATAATTTCTGAATCATCACAGCTGCATCAGTCTTACACTATCATATCTTGTAGTCTTTGAGAGTAGAAACAAACAACTTATGTCACTGGAAAGAGGATTTTTTTATCTCTGGTGGGATAAACCTAGTTATAAAATGCAACACAGCTGAGACTCATGGGAAAAAAATAGCACCATGATCTTGAAGCTGGCTGAAGGCCAGTCACTAGTGTAGCGAGTGTACACCATTGGAATGGCCTCCTGGGTGACCTTTTCTATTGTCCTGGATTGCTGGAGTGCAGTGCTCTCTGGCCTGGGCTACTCTTATTATGCCACTTCTTCACCCCCATAATGTACTCTGGGAGAATGAGATGTAAATGACATTGAGCAGGCTTTAGGCCAACTTTCTTTGGCAATTTTAAGTCACTGGAATGGCAATTTAGTTTTCTGTCTGTATATGATATAGGGAATAAGAATGCAGTGCTTCATTGAACGATACATTTAGGAAGGAAAGAGATTCTTTTGCGGTGTTTTTTTTTTCTTCTGCAACTGGCCCAGTATTATAGAAAATGAGGAAATTCCCTACACTTGGACAAAATGACCAAAACAGAAGAACTGGACAATTTCACCATGGTTTCAGCTAAAGACTGATGTCATTTGGGATTTACTGTGTTTTAGCCAATACGTAAATTCTTCTTTGTCAGTCACAAAGTGATTTGCATTATAAAAATATAAGGTGAACTGATATGTGCTACTTCAGATTCTAAACAACTATAAAAGTTAAATAATTTATTTGCACTTTTAAAGGCAAATGCCTTGTACATTTGTTTTTTTTTTCTATATATATGGATAGCTTTAAGCTTCCTTTCCCAACCCCCATTCTGAAAGCAGCTTAGCCAGACCATGTATATTTCATCCTAGAATGTAAATTTGGGGCAAGATCCTCATAAGAATGTAAGAACTGCCATTTACTGGATCAGATCATAATCCCATCTTGCCCGGTATCCTTTGTCAGACAATGGCAGTGTGTGAAGGGACAGGCAATGGCAGTGTGTGGAGGCTGAAAGGGAGAATGAACTGGGTATGACCAGGGATTTTTTCCACTGTTCCTCTCTCACATTCGGCAAGAATGCATTTGGCACAGGACAAAAAAACTGAGACACAGAAAGACCTTTTAGGCTAGAGACAGACATTCGAAATGATTTAATCTTTGCAGGTTAGTCTAACCTGCAGAGATAGAACAGATTTGCAAGTGGACAGACATCCACTTTTCATTCTGGAAATGCAGGCACATGCCTGCAGCAGCTCAGGCCAGAAGCTTGGGGTGCTAGAGCAGCCCTCCCTTCCCTTCCACAGAGAAGCTAAGCTGACGGAGGGATGTGGCCAGGCCCTGGCAGGCTGTCACTGAGCTGCAGCTACTGAGGAGGGCTCTGCCCCACCCCTGCAGCCCAGGCTGGACCTGCTCAGCCCTGGCCAAGGCAACCACAGTGTGGGCCGCAGGGGTGAGGCCCTCCTCAGCAGTTGCAGCTCAGTGATAGGGAAGCTGAGCCCTGTCAGTGAAAGCAGAATGTCCTGGCATGCTGGTCGGGATACCCGGGCTGGCTCAGAGGTACCAGAAGGCCCAGAGCCCAGCAGCCACCCACCGTGGGGGCTGGCTGCAGACACATAAGCCCCTGTGGCACCTCCAAGCTGGCCCGGGTAGTCCGTTGTCCAGCCAGCCACTGCCCATGTGTGCTGGGCCAAGCTGCTCTCACTGACAGGGACCAGCTTTCCTGTCACTGAGCTGCATCCACTTCGGAGGTCCCGACCCCTGCAGCTCAGGCCAGACCCACTGTGTGGCTGCCTCAGCTACAGCTGAGCGGGTCCAGCCCTGGCTGTGGGGCTGGGAGTGGGGCCCTCCTCAGCAGCTGCAGCTCAGTGACAGCTGCTTCCCATGCCCAGGCTGGGCTGGGCTGTGCAGCACCACACTGAGCCCCCCTCCCAGCCCTGCATGTAATCAAAGTTTTAAGAGAGCATAAAGTTATGCTCCTAAGGATCAGAGCGTCCATACTGATAGACACTGACAGATTTTTATAGGAATCATGGTCAAGATAGCCAAACCTCCTTTGGGTATTTCAGTTTTTGGGGAGTCTACCTTCAAATTTATAAAAAGGTCCTGACACTCACAGAATGACTGCTTGAAACTTTAATAAAATTAAGTCCTTTTAATATAGGGCAGGCTGACCACCAAAATTACTAATCACTTTGCAAAACCTTTGTTCGCTAACTGCATCACTTGTAGTAAAAATTCTCACCAATGAAAACAGCAACACCCACCAGGCTGCTGCTTCATCAGCAGTGGATACAGGACTGCAGATGGTTGCTGAAACTGTTCTACACTCAGTTGACTTGATGAGCCAAAAAAGGATCAGGGAGGCCCTGGCTAGAAATCCAAGGGAGCTACCCCTAGTTAATTAGACTGTTTTAATTAAAATGAGGAGGCTCCCAAAGCAGCACATTCCTTGCAAGAAAGAGACTTCACTTTTTTTATTCTTGTAGCGGACTGCTACATTTTGGAGCCTCCTTTCCTTTGGTTCCTTTTACATTATGTTTGTTGTATTTTCTGCATATACTGTTAAGACACCTGTCTTTATGATGGGTCATTTCAGGTTTCTAACAGGATGATTTTCTTCTAAATTTTTCTGATTGATAAAATTGGCATCAGCTTATGCTTTTTCAGCATCAAAAGTTTGGTGAGTTGTAGGTGATTTTGTAAAAAGGGACTTCTGGCTTATATTAATCTCAAGTATGTCTTGTGATTATAAATTATTTTATTTTTATTGTGAGTATGAGATTTTCTTACCATATGTACTTGCCCCAATTGCCTCTTTCTGTAATGGACCATGTACATTTGGAAGTAGAGACATTATTTTCTAATATCCATGGTTTAATAGACAATTATAATATACCACAGAAAAAATAGGTGCTTTAATGAATTTTGCACTTCCCAAGCATTAAAACTATAAGTCACTTAGTATTTAGTTGCAGAGTCCAGTAGTTTACTGTTACAGGCAACATTTTCCTAAAATAAAGCGGTACATTAGTTAGTACATTAACTCAGCTTGTTCTACTATAAATAGATCATTTAGTGAGTTACAATAAGGTTTGGTAGCTGTGCTCATTTGAAGTTTTAATAAATTAGAAATTGAGTGTACTAATCAAAGAACTCTAAGATTTGTAGCAAAAGAGATTATTTCTGGGGAAAATGCAATTAATATACACCATCCAGCATCTGAAGGAAAACTTTTACTTTGAATTTTTACTATGGGACTGATCCCAAACCCAGTAAAGTTAATAGAGAGATGATTGTTGTCTCCATGAGCCTTCTGTAAGCATCCTGAGACTTCAATTTGTTACACTGTTTGATGTATAAGGGAGTAGGAATATATCTTTTTATGTGCTTCCTACAGCCATTATATACATTGTGGCACTCTGTAATTAAGGAGAAACCCTTAAAATAAGGTGACATAACGGGATGCTCAAAAGTGTCCAAATCACTTAGAAGCACATGCTCTTTTGAAGGTCTATGCAACTTTATATTTTGCATGGGGAGTTGAAAAATTCTTCCTCCTAATGTAACAGGGAACTGGAAGCTCCAGTTATGAAAAAGGGTCAGATTCTTCATAATGGTCACTCTGCAAGTCAGGAAAGGGCAAAATAAGAAATACTAGCCAGAGAGCAGGTGGCAAGGAGGAAAAAGGGAGCCACCAATTAACTCGTAATCAGAAAGGCTAGTACCTGGGAGTCGGGGAGTAATCATCCACATGTGGTTATGGGAAGAACAAGATAAGGACTTGCTTGGAAATGGAAAAGGTGGCAGAGGAACAGAAAGCAATGTGATGCACAGCTGTGAGAGAGAACCCTGTGGAGAAAGTGAGCCATCACACACAGTGGGAGAAAGAGAGACAGAGTGCTGAGGAATCCTGTTAAGGGACTGGACTTTCGGGAGTAAGGCAGTGAGAAGCCCAGAAATGGGTTACTCAGGCGGGCTTCATTTTCCCAAATAGACTGGCTAGTTTTTCTGCTGAATGTGGGTTAGAGGGCTTGGAAGTAAGACTTATGAGGGAAGTCTGAAAGAATGATGTTTATTTAATTTGGAGAAAAGACCAAAGGGGGTGGGGGTGGATTTAATAAAAGTCTTCAAATACCTGAAGGGCAATTATCAAGAGGATGGAGATGGGCTTTTCTCTGTCTCCACAGGGGACAGGACTAAGAGCAGTGGCCCCAAGCTGCAGCAGATGAAATTTAGGTTGGAGATTAGAAGGAACTTTCTGACAATGAGGATGATCAAGCATTGGGCAGGCTAGCTAAATTTTCAAGAGCAGGTTAGACAGACAGTTGGCTGGGATGGTTTTGTAAGGGACAATCCTGCCTTGAGCAGGGTCCAGACTAGATCTCACAAGGTTCCATTCAGCCCTGCTTTCCTACGATTCTGTGATCCTCTGAAACCTCTGAAATATTCTTTAGGGCAGGGACAGGGACTCAGGCCTACCTCCCAGGTAAGTGTTTAAACCACTAGGATATAGAGTCATTTACACAAGCTCACACTTTTTTGTTTTTCCTCTGGCCTCATTAATATTTAGTTCTGTACAAAGTGGAACAGCTTCAGTTGAAGGAGTGGGGGGCTTTGAAGAACCACTTTTTACTTAAGTGCCTATATCCACTTGTGGATCTCGTCCTTTGTGCCTTGGTCATAGTGGGCCATTTTCACTCTGGAAACAATTTTATCAACTTCACTACTGTTAGCCCACAAGTGATTTTGGCTTCTTTAGTCACAAAGCAGAATAGCTACTGGGAAGCGTAGGCGTGATTGTGGATTTCTGGAACAAAAGGAAAAACCTCTAAATGTGAGTCATGATTAAACGAAATAGCAAAATCAAGGCATTAGACAGAACACCACTTCACACTCAACTCACCTCTAAAGGACCTTTTTATTCAATAAGCTTTTATCTTGATTATCATCTTTTAGACAATAGCTTGCTAGATAGCAATTGTGTGCATGTCTGACATGTTATATCCCAGACTGAAAAGGGTTATTGCATTGTAACTGCAAACGATCATCTTTGTGATTTCAGGTTCCTGCCACTGTGGAAAGTGCATCTGTTCACCCCAGGAATGGTATATTTCAGGGGAATTCTGTGAATGTGATGACAGAGACTGCGACAAACACGATGGTCTCATTTGCACAGGTGCAGTACAGACTAACCCTTAATTGCTCTTGAGAAGCTGACTGCATAAATGCAAATTGAAGTGAGACAAAACCCAAGCTGTTCTTTGTCCATTGATGTCATACTTTCCTATTATTAAAAATCATTGTAGATGTTAATGGAATGCTTCTTTGTGTACTGTGGATAAATTGGCACAACTTAACAGTTCATAATAAGAATTGAAAACCAAAGCATGAACTACAAAAACTAAATCATTTGTGACATTCAGTCAGAGGAGGAAACTGCATTTGTCCATTTATTCGTGGAAAAAATAGATATATAACAAATATTCCATATAGTGTATTCCTTATAGTAATCCATATATATCTATAGCGATATAGATATAGATTGCTATATGGAATATACTATATGGAATATTAGTAATTCAGCAAGTTGTATGGCTGGCCCCTTTCTTATTTAATTTGCTATAATAGATGTATGTTAATGCATTCAAATTGTAATCTTTGGTAATACAGTGTGAGCAGGTGCTTATATTACAAAGAGAATAACAGCCATGTTTGCTAATACAGTTCCCTTGTATCCACACAATTCTCTCAGGGATGCTAAGATGTCTGACAGTCTTTCTTGTAACATGATAGCTGCTGATTAAACCTGTTCCACCTATCTTAGGTCTGAGGGTTTAGATGGCAGATGCAAAGGGAAATGAACAGATTTCCAACAGTTTCTTGTAGCAGGGGAAGGAGAGAGAAATCTAGTGACAAGCAGAAACATGTGAACTGTTATATTAACTTGGTGGGTATTCCAGAATGAAAATCTTAGACCACAGTCTGTGTGTCTATTCACCTAGGAAACTCTTTGCTGAGCAGTGCTCTCCTGCTAACTAATACCTACAATAGTAGAGGTCAGAACAACATCTCTGTTAAGTAGAGAGGGATAGGAAAAATCTCTAATGATTACAACGTGAGAAATATAATCAATCAGGTGTTCTGGGTTCTGTTCACAAATCTGTCATTGATCACCTGGATGACTAAATTTACAACTGTTCCTTGCATTTGGGTGCTCAACATTGTGAGGTACCTAGAGACCTATTTTTTTAGATGTGCTGATTACCACAATTCCATTGAAATTAATGAAAACCAGGACGTAGCTGTCTTACACTGGGCATCAAAAGGCAATGTTTGAATATATCATTTTTAATGCTCCATGCATCAGTTTCCCTTCTCCAAAGCAGGACAATACCTTCTTATCACAAACAGATTTTGATACATCCTTAGTAAAAATATGAAAGACACCATTTTGTATCAGAGAATCACAAAGCGTTGTTTGTATTACCATTCAGTTTGCTGCGTTTTTAAATGTTAGCTAAAATAGCTTTAGTTTTACCTCACACCTTGAGGTGCGGTGTGAACACAAAGCACAAACAGCTGGGTGCAAATCATGATGGCATAATTACAATATTTACTATTCTGCTGATGGTATTGCTGAAAAGATGTCATTAATTGTTTGAAAGCGTAGGTTTTTGGCTGCTGCTTAATCAAATGTAAAGTGCTCTCTCTACAGAAAAATATGTAAAGGGACAATAAAACTATTTTATTATGGCTTGTTACTTCCCATAACAACACATTTTAATGTAGTACATTTCAATTATGGTAATTATCCCGTTTGCTCTGTTCTAGGCAATGGTGTATGTAGCTGTGGGAACTGTGAGTGCTGGGAAGGATGGAATGGAAATGCATGTGAAATCTGGCTTGGGACAGAATACCCTTAACTACAACAAAGAACATCAAGGACTAAGGGTTGTTTCATGTGTTTTGTTTGTTTGTTTTTTAGGCTGCTAGAACACGTAAATGCAAGGCGAACGACATAGAGCAACCACTAGAAATACTCAGACTACATCTGTATTTCAGAGCACCCTACCAAGGGCCTGCTTCTGTTCCTAAAGATGCCCATGACAAATCTAATATTGCTTCAATGGGAACAGAATTTGGCCATAAAATACTTATGGTTGTTAGCCCAAACCCTATTGGAGTTCATGGGAATTTTGCTTGTAGTCAAATGTTTATAGTGAAATTAAAATCAGTCTTAAAGAGTGCTTGATGGAAGTAGCACAAAAGCAGTTTTTTTGCATAATCTACTTTTTCCAATCTCAGTGTTGCTACATAATGACATTAAGAAAAAAGAATATAGTTGAATATTTGGCAAAAACAATTCTGATGAATTTGATAGTGTTTGTGAAATATTTCATTTGACCTTTGATTCCCTTCTATTTATTCTGATTATGTCAGGGCTCCAATAACAAGAGAAGCTGTAAGTTGCTCATCAAAACCTTAATGCTTTTAATTTTTGTCTGAGAATCATATTTGTCTAACTGAGATTTAAATAACTATCTGCCACATACAGTAGATCAATGACAGAAGTTACGACACCTGATCCCATTGCTAGAACAGAGCACATTTTTTAAACACACAATTTTGTGGCTTCTGTGTCAGTAAGCTGGTTATTTAGTCTTCATACTCCAATACTCTGAAATGCATATTCTTTAAGATTATAAAAAAAAATTAAAAACAGAGAAGATAAACTGTATGATTTGCTATTTTGAATAAATATATTAACTTGTATGTACTTTCATCATACTGTTTTATGTATGTTCACTTATCTAGTAATCTTAAAAGTAAAGCAAATTAAACGTTAACTTTTAGGATGCCAATTCTGTATTCTATTAGGACTTGCTGCTTAGGAACAGATTACACTGTCACGTGGTATCCATTGAATTTCACTATTTTTGTGCAAAGTGGGAGTCGAAAGGTCAACTGAATTGGAAAGTCAGTTATTTAGTATGGAAGACAGGAGTCAGCCAAACACACTCAGAGGATGGCAAAAAAGTATATATGTTTTAAAACAGTAAATACAAACAATGCAGTGGAATGAACAAACTTTTTATTTTTTTTCCAGTGGTGAAATGCTCAGTGTGAAATTCACATTGAATTATGAAAAAAATGCACAAGTGTTGGGACTTCCCTAATTTATTTACATTTCCTTTTCTTTTTTGTACATGTAAATTTGGCAGCCCTTGAATTTTTCAGAGCAAAAAAAAATACATATATTTTCTTTTCAAAAGTTAGTGATTACATCTCAAAAGTATGACTAAGCAATAAAAAGACTTCAATGTTTCTTTTAATATCAAACTGTAATACTGTGTTGTGAATTAGGGATCATGGTTCAGTCTGTTAGAGAGATGCAGGACTCAGAACGAAGGAACCTGGTTTTCAGCTGAAAAAATGTATTTCCATCATGACACTAGAAATTTATTTTCTTATAGAAAGGATTCAGATGAAATAGGAAAAGACAACAGTACAGAGCACATAATAGTTATAAGCATGAAAACGTTTAATGCAGTGACTGAATAGTCTTCAACACATTTTCATTCTGTTCTCACTTTTATTTTGTTCCCATTCTTTATCTTACCTGATCATCTTTTTTTCTAAAAGAAAAAAGAAGACAAAGAAGAAGAGGAAGAAATGCCACTTCTCAGGGAGACAACACAGTCACCTCAAAAAGTCTTTGCATAACACCAGTGTACTGAAAAAAAACAACAACCCAAAGCTGCTATTGTTAGGGAATAAAGCAGAGTTCTAAAATGTATTCATACAGTATAAAGAAAATTTAAAGTAAAATAAATATTGAAAAAATAGTTGGGATTTTATAGCTCTAATCTTCAAATTGTGTAGAGAGTAACAGGACTGACTATATGTATTTTAATATATATGCATTTTACCAACCCTGGTCTTTTGAATTGGTGAACACAAGCTTGTTGGTTTTATTTATTCCTGAAAGTACTACAGCTCTAAACCTCTTATAATAATCAATGTCTTATGGATGTGGGTGCTTCTACTGAGTCAAAATTTTAAGGCTGAAGGCATAATTAACTTCCTTCCTTCCATTTGTATGCAGTACTGATCATAGAAAATAGACAATTAATATTATTTACCAAGATCTAATAGATGTTTTGACTGGTTTGTTTCTATTACACACAGAGATATGTAAGTACACTAGATAGGCATGATATGTCAAGTACTACATTGGATTGGAAAAGATGTTCCTAATTGGTATTACAGGCTGTAAATTACCGAATATCTCATTGTCATATATAATGTTTGATGTATTTTACTTAGTGATTTGGGTTATACTTTTCCTTTAAGTTTGTAAACTAAAACAAATGTAAGTAATTCTTATGTCTAGTAGGAAAAGTTTAAAACATTTTCCCAACTAGTTCATTTTTAAGTTTTAGGGACCGGGTGGATCATATAACCTTAGTATTTCAAAAAGTCTTATCTGAACTGTTTGATAAAGCAAGTAACTACAGGGAAATATTTTTAGAAAATGTTGACAGAGTAACTATGGTTAATTAGAATGTAAATTATGAAAGTAACACTGTACTATATGCCTTTACAATGTTTACAAAGACTACTAAAATTGAAATGGATATCTTTTTACCTTTACAATTTTTATTCTGTTTCTTATTTTTATTGGTATAATCCTCATTACCCCTCACAAACTAAGGTAACCAATAGGCCTTTGTGAAGTGGCTAGTATTTGCTTCCGATTTGGGGACAGTGATTTGATAAGGTGATCCAAATCATTGTTCTGAATCAATTTGGCTGAATATAATTCTGAGATTTGGTTACTGCCAAATCTCCGGATCACCCAGGCCTATCCCCTGCCCGCTCTACCAACGCTAGCACTGTGGAAAAAAAAAAGCCCTGACTCACTGGGTGCTGCTGGGCAGGGGGCTATCCCCGCTGTTTCCCACTGCCCCATGCTGCATGAGCCCCCCAATCTCCCTCCGCACTGTCCCAGCCCCCCCATGGCTTTCCCACCCACCCCAGCTCTCACCCATTAAGAAAAAAAAACACAGAGAAAAACCCTGGACTCACCATTCCTGCTGGCAGGGGGAGATCCCTGCTGCCCCCCACTGCACCGGACCATGTGGGGGGCTCTGCACGAGCCCACGAAAGCCCCGAGGCTGCTGCAGGAGCAGTGTGTCCCGGGGTTTTCTTAATTTTTTTTTTTTTTTTAAAGGGCAGGAGCTGGGCTGGACAGAGCAGCCATGGCTGGGGGAGCGAGGGAGGGGGTGGGGGGTTCATGGCAGAGCCCCCCATGCAGCTTGGGGATGTGGGGGGCAGCAAGGATCGCCCCTCCCCACCCAGCAGCA